CTTAAATTGCTGATATTTTTGATCCTGCAACTTTGTGTAGTGATCTCTTTCAGAAATTTTTTATCTTGCTTGGCTATTTATATTATCTGAGAAAATAGTTAACCAAGAAAGAATTACTTATTAGCTATGGTTTGAAAAACAGGTATATCCAGCTTATAGTAATCTTTTCCAAAAGTTAAAAGATGAATTTTTTGATAGAAAGTTCCATACACGAATACCCTTCTATAAGGAAGTCGTTCAACCATGTTCTCCAAGGCGCTATGTACATATTCATGCTTGTCTCTTCGTGCGCTAGTATGTTTTTTTCTATAACCTTTATACAGCATAATAGTAGTCCTGTCTGTTTTAGACAAGGTACCTGCATTTTGATCAAAAAACGTGTTTGCTAGCTACTGTGAATTGATTTTGTGGCGGTTGCTACAATGTACTAACAATGTCAATAAGCTTAATTAGGATTAATTTTAAAAATTAAAAATTATCAATTACGATTTTTTTTAAGAATTTTTTGTTATCAATTTTTATCTTTATTCGTAAATTAAATTGTAACTTTACTTTGTATACATCAGCTTGAATGTTCACTATCTGGTGGGTAATTTGCATTCCTCGACTGCTCTCACTTGCTAGTTCTTGCTTCTTCACACATGGATGGCCCTAACAAACCCTCTATTACTAATCATGGTCTACAAATTTATAAAAGGGAAACAAAACATCGGTATGGTTTTTATTCTTTTTGATCTTTCCAAAAGCATATTTGTCAATCGTAGTCTACAACTAGATAAGATTAATTTTTTTGGATTCGACATGGACTACACCCTTGCACGTATGTGTATGCGTTACTTTATCTCTTTCTTTTCAGAGTATAAATCTCCAGCGTATGAGGAATTGGCTTTTAATATTGTTCGCAATAAATTGGTTAGCATGGGGTACCCTAAGCAGCTGAGGGAGTTTAAATATGAACCTTCATTTCCTATTAGGTAGTCTAACCTTTAAAATATGCCAAAAAAATTACCTAGAGGCCTGTGGTTTGATAAAATGTATGGAACCTTGCTGAAAATGGATCAATTTGGTAATATTCTGGTTTGTCTTAGGGGATTCAAAGTGATCCAAAGGTATTGCTTAGTTTTTGATCTTTCTCTTTAGAGAAGAGCTGAGGTCCTTGTATCCTAACAAGTTTCTTCGCTACGATGATAAGCGCATAGTGATAATGAATACTCTGTTCAATCTTCCAGGTGGGTTGGCTATTTTCCCATCAATTTCCCTGTGTAGCCTAACAGTATCAACTTTTTTCGTTTAGAACTGTACATGCTAACGTGCATCATACACGTATTTACAACAAGTCCGGAGCACACTCAGGTTGACAAAGGGGTGAAAAGTGGATCCCTATTCATGTCTTACATGTCGATATATCAAGATGTAAGGCAAGCGATCGATTGGATGCACGAAGTAAGCCATCCATGTTATAATTATTTTTGAGTAATTGAGCATATCTGAATTAATACATTGTGCTTTTACTTAACTCGTTTTCCGACTTATCCTCGTTTAATTTAAATTTTTTTTAGTTTACAACTTGTTCCCAATTTTTGGCAGTACTATATTTACTAGCTTCAAGTTACAATGTGAATCCTACTTGTATGAACACTTTTCAATGTATATCTAATAGCTTATTCATTCCCACATGTCTGTATACGTTTTTAAGTTTTTTTAAAGTACTCTTTTCTTTAGAGATTAACTTTAAACAGCCATTCGCTGTTTTTTTTGGCTTCGATTGCCGTAAATTTTTGTGATTAACTAATTAAATTATGCAAACATGAACTTGTTTTTCCTAACGTTCAAGAGGTTGATAATTATATCGCTAACTTAGGGGTGAGTTTTTGTCTTTTCCATTACTTTTATACTATTCCTTGTGATGGGACAAGTAGCTCAGCCCCTAGCTGCAAGTATTCTGCACCTAAACAGCAATTTGCCTCCCTTAGTGGAAGACCAGGTATTGTTTAAATGGCGTAGTCGGGAAGGTCATTAAAATTTAACGATGAAATTTTCCAAGCTACTTCTCTATTATGAAACAATTGTGAGGCCGAGTTTTAATATTAACCGTGAGTCGGAGAAAACTTGAGAAATTTGTGTTTTTATCCAATATTTGTCTTAGGTCAAAATTGATTGAAACTTGTCCCTTTATCTGACATTTAGTCCTAAGTTATTTTTGAACTCGGATATTTCTTTCTTGTTAAACTTTCTTGATCTTGTTGAGTTGTTTTAGATTTTATCTTCCTCAGCTAATCTTTATCAATTTAGCAAACTGTCTTTTACATCATTTCAAGAATTGTGAAATCACGGATTTTATTCTGTGTTTTCTCGCATTTACTCGTGCTTCGCTTCGGATGACCCTTCAGCAAACAGTCATATACCTATTGTTACCATCCTTATTATTGATCTTTACTCTGTCACAGTTTGGCAACAAATTTATCTGGTATAGCTTAATCAACTAATAATGGGATAGTAAATTTCTCTTATTTATACAAATTATTATTTTTTATTAACTCTGATATTTTATTTTAGGGAGAGCTCAAAAAACAAACAAGAGAAAATCTTGATCTCTATGTAGAAAAAGATCCAAAAGTTTATATCCTTCTACAAAGGTTCGCATATTTTATCATGTTATTGACTATATACTCTTAAAATTTATAATTTTATCCTATTCCCTCCACTTGGAAGGAATTTTATGCTTTATTTGTTTGATTATAATTTATATATGATATGTATTCACCCCATTTCGTTTAAGGTGATAAAGGACTTGTAGTATAAATTTCCCACGATGATATGAGTTAAGCTGTGAGAAAATTCTACTACCAGTCCTTCATTACCTTAAACGAAATAGGGTGAATACATCTCGTATAACTTTTTTACTGATAGGCTCGAAACTACTTGTATATAATTTATTTGTCTAGAAATCTTATATTTGAGGTGAATGTGAATGTGAAAAAGACTATGTATAGCTTATTGATACACTTTTTCTTATGCGTAAATAATTTTGCTTTCTGATATGAATTTTATATTTTACGCATATTTACATGTGGTATGTAGGGCAAGGTATCTCATGTCAACTTTTGATGAGTGTCGATTA